CCTGGGTCTCAGGGTTTCCTCTTAGCACTAGAGGCCTCAGCCTCAAAGCCACAACTCTCAGACTGTTTTATTTATCCTGCACCTAGCTCCATAGCTTCCTCCCTTACAAGAGAATCAGTAATATTGGGAGAAGCAAAATGCAGCTGTCCTCAGAGAGGAATCTACATGTAAGTCACAGTCACCAAGGGTGGAAAGTAGCATTCACACACTGTGAGGAAAAAGTAGAGTTAGCTGGGTAGAGCTCATAATATGCCAACAGAGCCCCTGGCATATGGGAGGTGCTGATAAACGATGGCCTTTGGTAGTACCCACAAGTTAAGTCCAGTTACAACTCACAGTCTTAGCAAGCATTTATTAAGCGCCTATGATAGCTGTGCCACCTTGCTACTTACCTCTTCATTCCTTTACTTCCTGCAAGTCTTTGCTCAAATGTCTCCTTGGCACTGAGGCCTCATGTCTGCCTTATTTAACACCCGCTAAAGGCTCTAATGGGCTAGAGGTGTAACTCAGTTGGTAGAGTGCTTACCTAGTATGCATAAAGTGCTGGGTTCTGTCCTCAGCAGCATGTAAAGCATGCATGGTAGTACACATTTGTAATGCCAAAACTTGGGAGGATCAAAAGTTCAGTCTTCCTCAACTATATAGTAAATTCAAGGCCAGACTGGGATGCACGAGGCCTTGTCTCAAGATATCAAAATAAATAAAATAAAATAAAATAAAATAAGAAAATAAAATAAGAAAGAAGGCCCTAGAATACACTTTGTAGCTAAACCATAATGAACTGTCCATGCATTAGGGCACAGTGACTGCATGAATTAGGCATCCAGGGTATAGTGGCTCTTCCTGTCTTTCCAGAGGGGATTTAGGGAGCAAGGCCAGGATCTGTGAAGGACCAGGGGCCTGGAACAGAGTGCATCCACTGGCCTCCCTTCCCCCCGCCCTTATCCCCTCCTCCCGAAGTTACCCAGCCTGAACCCATAAGACTTTCTCCTCTGAGGTTCCCATCCCCCTCCATGCCAGCCCCTCCCACTTCCCTACAACCCGGCTCCCTAGCAGCCATCTCTGCTCACTTTCACAATAATGGGTCCTGCATGACTCTGGGATGAAGAAATGAGACAATGCCAATCCCCATGGGCCCAGAAAAGGAGGCCTCTCCTGGGAAGGGCTCCCCCAGGAATGGGGGACTGCTGCTTTCCATAGGGGTCATCAGGGCAGAGAATGTGGAGTGCTGCTACTGGATGTGGCTCACTCGGGGTCAGGTGGGTCTAGGAGAGGAAGAAGCCAAAGAGGGAGGTACCCATGGCAATTTTTCCTAGAGCCCAAAGAGGGCAGGGGGCCCAGGCCTGTTTCTGTTCCAGTTTTAGTTCCTGAAGATACTGTTTCTTTGATGACTCTCCTGGGTCCCTCCAGTTCCCCTCTGAGCCCTCAGAAGCCTGCACATGACATGAAAGATGGGAGGGGAGGTGGTGTCTCTGCATTGACACTGCTGGTGAGAGCTGGAAACTTCTTTATAAACCTCAAGGTACTACTTCTACCCATGGCGGAAACTGCCAGTCACCACATGGCACATGTCTGGCATCTTGTAATGTGTGTGTACCTGTGTGTGGAGACCAGAGATCAGCTTTAGCTGTTGTTCCTCAGGTACCATCCACCTTGTTTTTTGAGGCATGGTCTCTCACTGTCCTGGAGCTTAGCAGGCTAGGCTGGATGACCAGGGAGCCCCAGAAACCCACTTGTCTCCTCCTCCCCAGCACTAGGATTACAAGCACATGCCACCATATCTTTTTTTTTTTTTTTTTTTTTTTTTTTTCAGTATGGGTTCTGGGGATCAAACTCAGGTGCTTGTTGTTCTAAGGCAAGCACTTTCTGGAAGGAGCCTATGGCGTTTGAAATGAATGCCCCCCACCATAGCCTCCAAGTATTTAAAGACTTAACCCCAGTTGGTGGTGCTGTTTTGGGACAGTCATAGAGTTCCTAGGAGGTACAGCCTTGCTGGGGGAAGCACATCCCTTGAAGTGGGCTTTGAGAGTTCATAGCCCTGCCTCAGTTTCCAGTTTTACTCTCTCTGCTTCCTGTCCTGTTGGGGACTCCTGCTGTTTGAGTAGCAGTCTCTTCATGTCCGGATAGCCCAAGGGGCTCGGTGTTTCAATGCAGAGACTCCTCTTTCCAGCAGGGTGTCTCTTACTCTCTTCCTGACTGACCTTTTGAAGTGGCCGCCACAGATGCCCTAACAAAAACATGTCCTCTGGCATGAAACTGCCAGGTTTTCCTGTGTGATAATCAGGCACTGTCTGACAGCCTGGCAGAAGCCCACCACCACATGTAAATGGGGCATCTTACAAAGCACCTATCAACTAAGGCTTTTGCTACTGCCCCCATGCTATAAATATCCTGGTTTCCCCCTAATTAATCGGAGCTGAATCACTAAGACCTGGAGCTGAGCTGAGTCACTGAATAAAGGAGCTGTATCACTGAGTCTGACTGAGCTGAGTTCTGTGTCTTACTGCCTAGATCCAGTCTCTCCGGAGGGGGCTGTCCCTTCGTAAACAACGACCTCGCGGAGACCCTGCTTTCTCCGTTCCCGCACCCCCCCACGTGACCCGGTGGCTGACGGATCGCGAACCTCGAGGGAGTGCCCGGTGGCTTGGAACGGAACCGCCTGGAAATGCAGTGACCAGTAGAGTCGCCACATCCAGTAGTCGCGGAAGAGCCTCATCAACGGTGCGTGACAGGTGGGACCCGCCCAGCGGCGCGGGAGAGACAGGCGCCAGCCAGCAGCTGGCGCTCCACGAAACCCGCGAGCCCATACTGTCCTGCTTTCAGCCCCACCATGATGGGCTCTTATCCCTCTGGACCCTTCTGAACCCTTCCCACTGAACCCTTCCTTCTATCAGTTGCCTTGCTCATGGTGTTTTATCACAGCAACAGAGAAGTAACTAATACAGAGCCATCTCCTTGGCCTCTGTGGTTAGCTTCTGATAGGTGCTGATTTGAAAATGTCTGGGAACACCTCAGTCTAGACAGACTTATGGGTTATACAGCCCCAGGCCCCTCTAGTGTCTGGGCACTGGTGGGAAGCCACAGAGGTGGGACTAAGGACACATACACATGGAGAAGGAGATGCATGGGTATTGAGCACCTAAGTTCTGGTGAGGCAGAGTCAGCTGTCACATCTATTTTCTGGGTAGTCCCCAATGGATGCTGTAGCTCAAAGTAGGTCCCTGGGGTTCTTGAGGTTGTCATAGATCATCAGTAATCCAGTGCTGCTGCTATCTCACATAATCACAGAGCAGGCTACAGGGAGGTCCTACAGAAGCTCCATTTTCCGATCAGTAAACTGAGACTTAGAGAAATCAGTCCATTTCCAAGAACCCAAGCCAGCCAGTGGCAGGGTGGCACAGCCTGCTTCCGAAGCCCATTTTGTTGGAGAACCCAAGGTCAAAGGAGGCCAAGGTTGCTAAGCTAGTAAATCGCAGGTCCTAGGTCCTTGACTTGGAGGTCTGTGGCTAACTTGGATGGGAGAAAAAGAGCAAGCTCGCGTGCATACAGCTCTAGCTGAAATCCAGCCCTGCTCCTTGTGTGAGCCTCAGCACCTTGATTGTATTATCAACGCCTGTGACTCTGTTGCCCCTAGAAACCACAGCTTTTCTTATCACACTCCAGCTGTGGCTGGGATGGTGGAATGTTGTTTTCACTGATCATAACCTTGAAATGGTAGCACTGTTAGACATGACATCATCACACCTTGAACACTAATGCTTTACTAAAGGCACATGTAGACTGCTATATGCCAATTTTAAATATATAAAGTTTTGTAGGGGATTTTTGTTTTCTCTTGTTTTGAGACAGGGTCTCCCTGTATGTAGCCCAAGCTGACCTGAAACTTGCTATGTAAATCAGGCTAACCTAGAACTCACAGAGATTTGGCCGAGTGCTGGGATTAAATGTGTGTGCCCCAACGTCCAGTGAAACACATAAGTTTTAAAGGAAATGTAAGTGGCTCGTTTTACAACCATGCACACTTTTGTGTGTGTGTCTTTGGTTTTATTTTGGGGGTCTCTCTGTAGCCCCAATTGGTCTGGAACTCATTATGTAGATCAACTAGCCTTGATCTCACAGAGATCCACCTGCCTCTGCCTCCTGAGTGCTGGGATTAAAGGCATGCCCCTCCATGTCTGGCACATGTAAATTTTAAAAAGATTTTTGTGTGTGTGCGTATATGTTGAGGTCTGAAGAGAGCCTTGGCTGTTAGTCCTCACCTTCCACCTTGTTTGAGCCAGCTCTCTTTGTTGCTTGCTAGCTAGCCCAGGAGCGGAATTCCAGGGAGTCCCCATCTCTGTCTCCCATCTCACTATAAGAGTGCTGAGATTCGGGCTGGAGAGATGGCTCAGCGATTAAGAACACTGGTTGTTCTTGCAGAAGACCCAGGTTTGAACGCCAGCATCTACATAGCTAACAACTGTTCCTAACTCCAGTCCCAGTGGATCTGACAGCCTCTTCTGTCCTCTGCCAGCATTGCACAACATAGGTGCACTTACCTACACGCAAGCAATACACAGATACACATAAAATAAAAATAATAAAATTTAAAAATAAAAGAGTGCTGGGATTCTAGATGAACTCTACCACATCCAACTTTACATGCATTCTGGGTCCTCAGGTCCTCAGGCTTGTATGGCAAGCACTCTACCCACTGAGCAATCACTTCAGCCTTTATTTTTTTAATGGAGACTCATTATGCAGTCCAGGTTGACCTCAGACTTGATTATGTAAATCAGGCTGGCCCAAACTCAGGATCCTTAGGAGGTGGGATTATAGGTGTGAAACCATGACCAGCTTTAATCATGCATAATTTATGTGCTTAAAATCATTTTCCTGAGAAAGAATGCACAGTACCTTTCAGAAGATCCTAGGGGTTGTAGTGTAGAAAACACCAAGGGCCCCGCCTCTCAGGCTTAAGTCCCTCCCTGGAAGCTCCCAGGCTCCTAACTGCTGAGCCTGTGGGGCGAGCGCCCGTTCCCATAACTCCTGAGCAAGGCAGGAAACTTCCTCAGGAAGCAGGTGAGGTGGGTGCCCCTTCACTCCTCTGTCTGACTGACTCCCCTCTTCTGTCTGACTGTCTCCCCTCTTCTGACTGACTTTCTCCTTCCTCCTGACTCCTCCTCTGTCTGACTTCCCTTCCTCTGTCTGGCTGTCTCCCCCTCTTCTGTCTGATACTCTCCCTCCTCTGTCTGACTATCTTCCCTCCTTTGTCTGACTGTCTCCTCCCTCCTCTGACTGTCCCCCTCCCTCTGCCCGTCTCCGCAGCTCCCTCCCATCCCTCAGCCACTGCAGAGTTAAATGCCCCATTCTCTGCAGAACCCAGTTCTCTGTTTCACAGCCAGGCCAGGTTTGATCGCAGTTCCAGGCACCAATTATGGACCAGCTTGCTTGAACCAATTAAAGTGTGCAGGTACGATACTGTTGGCATCACCAAGCCAGGGTTATCCCAGCAGATATTGTCCATGAAATATTTGTAAGAGATTCTGGGAACTTTAACAATTCGGTGGCAAGCTTTCACTTGCTGGTGAGGCTCCTGGCCAGCAGAGCAACGAGCCAACCAGGGTGAAGTAGAGGGTTGGCAGAGGCCAGCAGTGGCCAAGACAGGGCAGAGCTGAGAAGCTCAGGAGAGGGGTGGGAGATAGTACTTCTTATTGGTTTTAAGGATGGACAGAACCTGTCAGCTGTCCAGTAAGATGACTCAGGAGGCAGGTGCTCTAGGCTCTCAGGCTTGTATGACTTACAGATAGTTCCTTAACTATGTGCCTCAGTGTTCCCATCCGTAAAAGACAACTTCAATACTGCAGGGCTATGGTGAGCATTAGAAAAAGCAGCGAATAAAAAAAATGCATGGAGAAATTATCCATGTGACATATTTTGTGGTTGTTTATTTATGGCAGTTGATGTTCAGACCCTGCCCAAAGCCTCTGTTGATGGCCCTGAGCCCACACAGTGGCAGGCTAGGCCCAGGGCAGTGACACAAGCTTCTATTGGAAGCCATTATCTTTATCTGGTGCAGACTTCACATATCTTGGGATTTGGGGTTAAGTGGGGACTGCCAGCTGGACAGGAACAAGGCCTCCTAGCAATGCCTGGCTGAGCCTAAACATGCCCATGTCCACACTCCTGAGAGGCTCACAAGGATCCTGAGAAGGGGGCAGGGTTGGCATTTGTTGGCCCATTTTATAGATGACAACTTTGAGGCTCAGAGAAGGCTTCTGATCTTCAGGAGCTGAGGTTAAGAGATCATGGGCAGGTGACCGGCTCTCTGAACTTTCTCCACAGCCCACAAGGTGTAAGCAGGTGAGTGTTCCTGCAATTGTGAATCTATTTACTCTGAGCTCCTCACTTCTCCACCATAAGCCATGTCTGGTCCTCTACACTATGTTTTCCCAGTCACTACTTGAAGTTTGCAAAGGAGGCTAGAAGGTTGTGGTTTTAAGAAGGTCCAAACTGCAACTTCCAAACCAGACCTGGGGCCAGGGAGATGACTCAGCTAATGAAGTGTTTTCTGTACAAGTATGAGGATCTGAGTTCAGATCCCCAGCACCCACATAAAAATCCAAATGGTTTGTAATCCCAGTCCTGGGGAGGCGGAGGCAGGAAGGTCCTTGGGCCTGACTGGCCAGCTAGCCTGGCCTACCTAGCAAGTTCAGACCAGTGAGGCCCTGTCTCAAAAACTAAGGCAGACAGTTGAGGAAGATACTCAAAATTGACCTCTGGCCTCCACATGCACACACACATGGTTACACATAAACACATACACACACACACACACACACACACACACACACACACAGAGGAATACAACAATATTAAAGAGCTTTGTGGGAAAGAACTGCACTGTAAACAGCTTTCTCACTGACCAGTTTCCTTCCACAGCAGGCAGACTAATAATAGGTGTGACCAGAATGAATGGGTCATTCTGCTAGCTGTCTGTCCCCTCACTGTCCTCTTGTAAGCTCCTGCTGTGTTGATGGTGTGTGCTCTGGTAGACTCCCAGACAGCCATGGAAAACACGATGATTACAAAGAGCAGATTGTTTCTTGGAACACACTGTCCCGGTGAGGCAGTCTGTTCCCACTCTGTGGTCTGAGGAACTGCAAACTAGCTGGCTGGCCTCAAATGGCCCCTGAGCTCCTGTCTGAGGGCTGAGGGTGGCAGAAAGTACAAAGGTCCCAAGAGGATCCAGGCTGGGTGCGGCGGGGCTCAGCCTAGGCAGGTGTGCCCTGGCCCCGTGCAGGGAAGGGCCCTGTGAGGAACTACAGGGTCTGCACAGCTTCTGGTTTTCATTTCTGAGGTGTCGCTTTCCTGGACCATAAAGGCCCCAGAGGCAAGTGTGGGTATCCCTGGACCCGCCCCCTTTCTTTCCATAGCGCCTGCATGAAGGCTGGGGACAGTGGTGGTTCTGGAGCAGGTAGGAAGACATATATCAGGAAAAGCACAAGAGAGTCACAGACTGGGGTTAACAGCCCATGTTCCACACTACCAATTTGCTTTTGACCTTGACTAACTTGCAAATTCGTCCTTTTATTGGATTCCTCACAATTGCCTAGAGATGGTGCAGTTGCTGTCCTGACCTGAGTTTTAAGTGGAGAAAACAGAGGCACAGGATAATATGAATGAAAGTCAGAGATAGGAGATCGCTGCTCTGCATCCTGCCTCTACTACCTACAGCCAGTCTGACATTGGGGAGATGTGCAACTGATCTCACAGCATCTCCTCAAGATGTTAGAGGACTCTGATACTCACTCCAACTCCCTGCTAAAGCATATCTCAGCGTAGGCAGAATATGCTGGGGTGGGGGCAGGGCACAGCCCAAATCACTCCAGGGCAACTTGGACTGGGTGAGCATTCCTGCCAGAGCACACCTCTGGGGGTTCAACCTGTACCCCCCAACTCCCCTCCTCTGGCTTTAATCTGGCTCCACCCTGATAGGGAAGAATAAGTTCTCCTTTCTACCCTCCCAGCCCTGAGACCTCTGCACCCATTTCTATCCCCTATCCTAAGTAGGCTCTGTAAAGCATGCACCCTCTTTCTGCACTGCCAGGAGAGCCAGGCTGGAGGGAAGTGACCCCTGAGGAACCTTGGGTGGGCAGGTCCCAGGAGGAAATAAAACAGGTTGGGAGAGGAGAGGATAGAAGGATGACAGGACTGAAAGCTGAGGAGACAATCTACAGAGCAGGATTGCAGGTGAGGGGAGCCTCTGATGACCCATGCAAGTTCCATCTAGAGGTCACGGAAGACTGGACTTGGGTGGAGATGCTGCTCTTCTCATACACAGTGGGGAGGCACAGGAGGGCCAGGTTGGCAGGAGAGCCAGCTTTGGCCTCCTGCAAACCTTGAGAATGGAAGTGGCGTGGTGGGGAGGACCTGGTTTCAAGAGGGGAAGACAGGACAGTGGGGCTGGAGTACTGTTGGGATGCCACTTTTCTGCCCCATCACCCCCTTCAGATGGCTCCCTGTGGCTAGGTCGGGGCACAGCAGCATGCTAAGTAACCATCACACAAGTCTCAGGCCCTCACCTCTCAACCTCTCTGGTGAGAGATGCCCGGGTCTGTTTACCCATCCCGCCTTCCACCCATCAAAGGCAATTATTTGGTGTTTGGAAATGCTCTGTTTTTGTTTCCTGTGTCAGGCAGAGCTTAAAAGAGATCCATCCAGATGTGTTTGCAACCAGGCCCTGACCCTGAGAAGTGAGCTTCTGGGATAGGAGGCCAGTTCCTGAGGCCTAAGAACCCAGTCCATCATGGTAAGGAAGGCAAGGTGGTTCCAGGGGTCCAAGTGCCCAGCCCATAGGCTGGATCTGCTTCTTGTGAGGGAGGCAGGGATCCTGAACACCTGTCCCTGGGTGCTTTCACAACCTGAGGCTTGAGCAAATCTCTCCCTCACAAGAGCAGGAAGCTGCTCAGTGGGGGGCAGGGCAACAGGATGCTAGACAAGCTCCCTGACCTGTGTCTCTGCTAAGCTCTGCTTCCTTCCTCCCCCCAACATCCAGGCCATCGATGGGTGGTTTTGCCCAGTGCATTTATGAGATACTTAGGGAGAAACGAATAGCACCCAGCTCCGCCCATTTATGGAAGAGAAACTCAGCTGAGGGAAGGGACTTGCCCAGGGTCTCAGCACTGTGCCTCTACCCAGGCACCTGCCTTATCCAGGGGCACTCCATTTTTAGAGAGGGCTCTAGTAAGCCAAAGCGATGGGGACACTGTGCTGGATAGCTTCAGTTGTCAACTTGACACACCAGGGAAGAAGAAACCTCAATTGGGGTTTCCTCTATGAGACTGACCTGTATCCACGTCTGTGAGGTATTTTCTTGTAATGTGGGAGGGCCCAACCAACTGTGGGTGGTGCCACTTCTAGGCAAGTGGTCCTAGGTTGTATAAGAAAGCAGGCTGAGCACAGGCCAGAGTAGGAAGCCAGTAAGTAGTATTTCTCCATGGTCTGTGCTTCAGCTCCTGACTCCAGGTTCCCGCCTTGAATATCTGCCCTGGCTTCACTCCAGGATGAACTGTGATCAGGATGTATAAGCCAAAGAAACCCTTTCCTCTTTGAGTTAGTTTTTGTGTTGGGAGCTGCTAGTCTATTATGTACATTGAGCTGTGGCAGCTTTGTTTACTGAGTTTGTGTTATGCATACCAGTACCTAATCTGCCTATTCAGGAGGAATGTGTTTATATGGAGAGCCTCACAATACCTGACCTGGAGGCAATAGTGGTAGACAAAAAGATCAAAGAAGCTTTTGATCTGACCGCTCCTTGACCCTCAGATCCAGGTGGGGAAAAACAGCTGTTGAAACTAATTGAGTTCTTCTGTATAAAAAGGTGGAGCTGAGATAAACCGGGGCTGCAATCACCACTGTTAGCCCTCCCAAGCATTTTTCTGTCTCTTATTTTTTCTTTCAATCCTCACTCCCCCTTTCAGGTACTGTCTGTCTTGGCCGGCTGGCACCAGCATTTTTGTCTGAATGTTTTTTTTCTAAGTATTTATTATTTTTATTTTATGTGTATGAGTGTATTGTCTGCATGTATGTGAGTACACCCGTGTCATGCAATGCCATGGAGATCAGAAGAGGGCTTCGGATTCTCCTGGAATTGGAGCTAAGGATGGTTTGTAGCTGTCATGTGGGTGCTCAGAATTGAATCCAGGTCCTCTGCAAGAGCAATCAGTTTTCTTAACTGCTGAGCCATCTCTCCAGCCCCCTTGTCTGAGTGTTTTATCACAGGAATAGAGAAGCAAACTACATCAGTGTAAACTAGACCAATGTGGCTGTGAATCTGTGACAGGAGGAGAGAAAGGGTAGTGGTGGTTGGGGGCGGGGGTCTTTGTCCTGAGGAACCTGGCCTTGGAGCTGCTGGCCGTGACACTGGCTATAGGGACCTAGTAGGAACCCAGTATCACCCGTAGCTCATGGATGCCAGAGAGGTAGAAAATGCCTTCCAGGGCCTTCCACTGGGTGGAGATTTCTACTGTCACCTCCTTGAGCTGTGGTTGAACCTCTCTCCCAAGCCAGTTTCCAAGAACCAACCCCAGCAGCTGGTCTCTGTGACTTTAATGAAGAGAGACGTTAATGGTATCCCAATTCCATTTTTAAAATTAAAAAAAAAATTATTTTATGTGTATGAGTATCTTGCCTGCATGTAAGTATACTGCATGTATGCAATGCCCCTAGAGGCCAGAAGAGGGCATTGGGTCCCTTGGAACTGGAGTTATGGACAGTTGTCAGCCATTGTTCGGGTACTGGCAACTGAGCCCTGGTCCTCTGCAAGAGCAATCAGTGCCCTTAACTGCTGAGCCATGTCTCCAGGCCCTGGAATTCCATTTATATCACCCACAGCTCTTGTAGTGTTTCTCTGGTTAAATCAGATGTTTTGAAAACAAAAGAAAAAGGAAATTGAAGAAGAAAAAAAAGAAAAGAGAGAGAGAGAGGCTGGTAATCGTCACCGTAAATCCTTAATGTCTGTGGAGAGCGGCTGGCTTCCTGACTTGCTGGGATCTGTGTGGGAAAGCTTGTTGTAATGAGGCAACCAGGGAGGCCAGGTCTTCCCTGGGGGGTGTCATTCACCACTCAGGTTTGTAGAGCCCTACTCTGATTGCTTCTGCCTCACGGAGGCAAGAGCATAGGGAGAGGCTGAGGGAAGTAGGTGAGGGCCAGAGGAAAGGCACATGTTTCTAAGAAGAAGCTGGACATCCCCCATACCCGCCAGCTGTGCCTCAGGGTCCTTGGCCGGGTTGCCTCACAGATCTGTGGGTTCCCACGGCCCATCACACATGTCTGGGAGTTCTTGATGGATGAGAGCTCCCAGGAGCATGCATGTGTTTGGGGCTCCCCAGCTGCGCCTCTGAGAGCCAATCTGGGCTGAGTGTAAAGAAGTCGACTGCAGAGGGCCGTGGGAGACTTTAAAGGTGGAGTCTGTTAAAAGTGAAACATAAAACAGAAACTGCTCAAGAGCTGGGGAAAGGGGCCTTGGCTCCAAGGAAGGGGGGCAGGTGGAGGAAAGAATAAATGTTTAAGAGCAAGTGGCAGAGCTCAAGACCCAGACTTGAGGAAGGGGAAGTGAGCACAGAGAGGCCCAGGGGCTTAACCCAAATCACACAGCAGCCCAGAGGCAGATTCCTCATGCCCGTGGGTGGGGCATATTCATCTTGGGAGGGATATAATGAGCCCTACCTTGAGGCCTGAGCATACACCTCAGCCCTTGAGACTTTCATGGGATAGCAAGGGAAAAGAACACATGCCAGTTATGATGCCAGGTAAGGGCCACTTATTGTCATGGTTCATTTTGTGTGGAATTTGAGGCAACAGAAGGTTGACACTAAAGCAAGAGTGAAGAACATGGGAGGGGCAACCAGGGAAGGAGGAGCTCTGTTCCCGGGGGCTGGCATGGAGGTGCTGTGGAAGGAGGCCTGGGGAGTCTGTCCCAAAAGGCAGGTAGGCAATCAAAGGAGTCAGAACTCAGAAGGACACTCCTGGTAGCAGGAAAGGCCCTGGGGTGGGAAGAAATGGGGTACTGCAATGCCCAACAGCAGAAGTAGGAACAAGACCAGGGAGGGTCAGTTGCCTGAGATTTAAGACTATCCTATGGGAAGTGAGGGAGATAGAGACAGATTACAGGAAGGGGGAGTGTTCCAGTGAGGAGAGTGTTCTAGAAAGATCCCTCTCAGTGCAATGGACTGATGGAAGTAGGAGACCACAGGAAACTTTGGCATGGCCACAGTGGGGGAAAAGACACAGAATCTGACCCAATGCCCTGGTTATGGGGATAGAACTCAGGAAGTTTTGATGTGGACCTTTCCATGGCTGGGCTTGCATGGCTTGTCAGCCCCATGGGTGAGGGGAGAGAAGAAAGTGAGTTCCGGCTTGCCTTTGAGTTCCAGCTTGAGGAGAACCCAGGTGGAGGAAATGTTCCCTTGAGAGTATGTAGGCACTAGAGGTCTAGAAGCCCTTCTGGACGGGTCAGTCCACTGTTGCTGACTCCACTGTCTCTATTAGGCAGCAGATAAGGAAACTAAAGCTAATCGAGAAAAACCCAGAGCAGGTTGCTAATAATAAAAATAATAATAATAATAATAATAATAGTAAAAACAACCCTGCTTATCTGGGAAAACAACTTTCTAGTTTATCTAAGAAAACCAGTCCTTTTGTCTGCTTAAGAAAATAAGGTATATTCTTTTTTAAAGATTGTTTTATTGAATTTTTGTGTATTTCATACATAAAATTATCTTTGTACCCCTCTCTTCCTTCCCCTTTGGCACCCTCCCATAGACCTCCCGCCCCACAGGAGTCCATACATTCTATCATTTGTATTAAGGCCTATTATATAAAGTTAGTGTCCTGAGATGTCTGTAAGTGCAAGTTTGTCTACCAGAGTTCAGTCAGCCTATCTAGAGTCTCTCCATTCAAGAAAATCAGCTCTTTCTTACCCAGTAGTATTCAGCTGCCAATAATTCTTTGACTAAGATTGGGGCTTGCTGTTCATTTCCACAGTTCCTTGCTGGGTTTTTGTCTGCCTAAGTTTGCATGGGTCCTGTGCATGCTGACACCATTGCTGTAGGTTTGTATGAGAAGGGTCCCAGGCGCCTGTAAGACCATTTCCATATAGTCATGTACTTCCTCTCCGGCTCTTACAATCTTTCTGCCCCCTCTTCTGCAATGGTCCCTGAGCCCAGGGTGGGTGGACCTCAATATAGGAGTCCTGTCCAAGGACCCACAACTCTGCCGACTCTTATTCTCTGCATTTTGGCCATTTGTGGCCTTTTGTGTTCCTGGGCCTCTGTTGCATGAGGGGGCTTCATTGATGAAAATTCAAAGATGCATTAGTGTTCTCTTCATCCCTTGTTCTGTGAGCCTTAAGTGTAGAGGTTACATCCTAGATGTGCCACTTAGGCTTGGGCAAATCACAGAGAATCTCTGTGTATGACCAGTGGTGTAACTCTGTAATAATCTCTCTGTTGAAAAAGAAGCTACTTCGATGGGCAGTGACTGGGATACTTATCTGTAAATTTAAGGATCCATATTTTGCACATAGTAAGTAATTATATTTGTCTATGGATATGAGAACTTCGGGTTTTCTCTAAAATCTATGACCTCTCCAGCTATGTGGATTTGGCTAGGTTTACAGCACCAGACATGAGTTTCCTCCCATGGAGTGGGCTTTAAATCCAAATAGGTACCTGTTGATTACCCCCAAGATAAAAGTTCCACTACTGCACCAATGTCATTTACTGTGCTGGTTATTGATGTGATTTTTAG